TGATGCTGTGGATTTCAGGGTGTGGTTCTTGGGGTCATAAAAATGTTGTTTGGTACCACAGGCAGTCATATCAGACTGGCTGGAACGTATACTGCTGCTGCTCATCTGTAATCCAATGACACACTCTGGCCCTCATGGTGCCATCATGGGAGTTCCTCTGATGTTTGACCTTGATATCTACACTACTCTGCAGCCCCTTGGCTGTGCCCTTCCCTGCTGTGAAAGGAGAGACACTTGCACCTGTGTCTTGTCCCCAGTTGGGCAAGTGACTCTTATTAAATTCAGCGGTTCACACACAAAAAGAACACGAGAGTGTGAGGGGGATTTGGTGAGAAGGGCTTCGGCAAGAGAGGGGAAGGATGGAGAAGGGAAGTAAGGGAGAAAAATAGTTAAAGTCAATCATTTAAAATATATGAAACTGTCAAGCAAAATGCAAAAGGATTACAGAAAAACAAGCCAATCTCTTCATTAATAAATTGAAACCACTGAAAGAAGAAAGGGGAGCCGGGCGGTGGCGGCACACACCTTTAACACCAGCACCAGGGAGGCAGAGGCAGATACATGATTTCGAGGCCAGCCTGGTCTACAGAGTGAGTTCCAGGACAGCCAGGGCTACACAGAGAAACCCTGTCTTGAAAACCTACAACAAACAAACAAATAAATGAAAAGAAGAAAGTGTAGAAGGACAGGATGAACACTCTTTTGTTGTTCACATTGGGACATTTTGCTTCTGTATTTTTACTTGTTTGTATGTTTTGACAGGGTGCTATTTTGTAGTCTAGGGTGGCTTGGAACTCATGGCAATCCTCCTGCCTCAGTATCCTAAATGAAGGGATTATAGGTGTCAGCATGCCCAGATTGTTTATGTATCTTAGCAAGGCTACTGTAAAGCAATTCAGAACCCATAATACATACTAGGAAATAGTCTTTGTGCTTAGGATCACCAATGTTTAAACCAAGTAATTAGTGCACATTAGAGAACAAATTAGAGTGCTGGCCTTTCCAGCACACTCTTTTAGTGTCCATTAGTTTATTTATTGCATCATTTAGTACTTGTATATAAAGGAGCCAAAGGTCTAGGTAAATAATAACAACAGGACATGGCATTAAATTTGAGTATCAGTAACAATGGAGTATACAATAAAAATAAAAGTATACATGCTTTTGTCATTTATTTATTTAGTTAGTTTTCTGAGACAGGATTTCTTTGTGTTTAACAGCCCTGGATGTCCTGGAACTCACTCTGTAGACCAAGCTGGTCTCCAGTTCACAGAGATCCACCTGCCTCTGCCTTCTGGGATTAAAGGCATCTTTTATTTTTAAGAACTCATAGAGGAGCTTTATTTATTTTCATGTGCTTATATGGAAATTAACTCAAGTCATCAGGCTTGTCTGAAATTCATTATTTAGACTAGGCTGGCCTCAAACTCAGAGAGCCACCAGCCTTTGTCTTGGTAGAACTTGGATTACAGGTGTAGGCCAGAATGCCCCCTGTGGTTTTTATTTATTTCCATAGTTTAGACTTAAAAGTGGCTTCCACATCTTGCCTCTTGCCTCAGTAACTCAGCCAGGTGGCTGTTTAATCTCCTTGATGGCTATTTCCCTCATGGTCTACTTGACAGGCAGTTGGGACCACAGAGAGAGATGGTCAGGGCCCATCAGAGGGCCTGGGGTACAGGGACTCTCACTAAACGTGGCTGTTCTAACGGGGCATCTGTATTAGAATTTTCTCACATTCGGACAAACCTGGTTAATGTCTTTTATTACAACTTGTGATACATTTCCTACCCATTATTCCAGTACTTAAACAACTGTTGAGAATTTATAGTTACAGTCTAAATAACTGATAATCTGGTAAACTGAGGCCAGAAAAGACACCTAGGAAGAGGACTAGAAGTCCTATTCTGCACGGATGACAGGTCCAGGGTGAGCTCCTGGCTTCATTAATCAGTGCTTCTCTCTGCCCCTGGCTGTTTCCCCCTGAAGGTGGGCCCTGTGCTATTCAGGGGAAGTACCTAGCAATTCCATTCTCCACCCTCTCTGACTGTGATCTCACAGGTTAGCCCTCCTCCTTACGCCACCTCCTGTTTCTGCATATGTCCCTTACCTGGAAGTCTTTGTTATCTGTTCTTCTCCCCCATGCAAAACTAAGAACACAGATGGAAATTGCTACATTGTGACAATCTGTTTCCTCATGACAAGTCATCAGGTTGTTACCCTCTCGGGAGCTACTGAGGTTAGTCACAGGTCTCTTTCTTCAGTCTCCCAATTTTCTTCTTAGAAAAATATTGGTCAACAGTTCTTTTAAAGGTGACAAATGTAAACAAAAAACAAAACCAAAAAAACAGAGGACTAAAAAGCAATAATTCTTTAGCTAGAAGTAAGCACCATGGTCTTTCTTCCTGTTTGTTTAAAAACAATGATAATTGTGGTGTGTGTGTGTGTGTGTGTGTGTGTGTGTGTGTGTGTGTGTGTGTGTGTGTTGTGAACAATCTAACCCCAGGCCTTGAACAGGCTAACCTTGTCCTCTATCACCGTGCTATGCCCCCAGCATTTCTGTTTATTATTTTAAAATAGCTGGGAGCATTCTACTCATACCATTTGATCTTGATTTCTTTCCTTGTTCAGTTATCATAACATTTTTCCTTGTGAAAATGTTTACCTCTTAAGCAGCCCATAATGTCCCTGTTGTGCCCAAGTCATGAAGATTCCCAAAGACCACCAGGGAGAGACAAATCCGTTGATGCAAATGCATAAGGTTTATTATTCATCTAACTATGACAAGAACCTTGTCAAGCGGGTTGACGAAGCAGCCACCAGAAGAAGCAAGTTCCCTGTCTACTGCCAGGTTTTTAAAGGCAAAAAATCACAGGATTACATCAGTAGGTATGGTTGGTTTCTGATTGGTTGACATTTGGGGAATAATCAGGAGAATTTCTCAAAGTCATATTTTGGCATGGAATACCTGTGTACCAATTATTCCCACTGGTCAGTGCTGAGAGGGAACATTCTGTGGTTTCTATGGCTTTGTCTTGTTACTTGCAGGTGGTCTGTTGTACACAGATATCAATAATTTTCAGAATTTTATCCTGGAGACTACAGGGGAGTTTTTGGTCTCCCTTAGAGTTTCTTTTGTGACCAAATAGTTCCCAGAAACCAAGTATCTGGTGTGTGTGTGTGTGTGTGTGTGTGTGTGTGTGTGTGTGTTTCTGGAGTTTCTTTGTGTTCAGTTTTGGCCCTAGGCTCCGGGAGGCCAGGGGATCTGGAGTTTCTTTGTGTCATGTGCTGAGTCAGAGGCCTACGTGTCTTTTCTGTAGCCTGTCATGGCTGCTAACGCAGGGGGCTGAGTGAGAGTCTGGTTCCTTTATTTCTCTCTAGTATGAATAATAAGAGTGGAATGGAAACTTAAGTCTTTGTCACATTTATACAATTTTTCCCCAGTGTAAATTATTAAAAGTGAAGTCTGAGTTTAGACTACCCCTTTCACCTGGCAGGCGAGGGAGACCATGTCACTGAGCTAGACCCTCAGGCCTGGCAGGCTAGGGAGGCCTTTTTTTTACTGAGCTAGACCCTCAGGTCTGGTGTTGGTGAGTTTTCTTTTCTAGGATTTTGTCCCTTTTCATTTCTGAAGTTAGCTTTTGAAAAGATCCTGAATTAGTCCTTTCATTGTGGGTATGTCTACACAGCCTGCCTTTTTCTGTGCCTGCTGATTTCAATTTGGGGAGGGGAAGCAGGGAGACAGAGTCTCTCTACATACCCCTACCTGCCCTGGAACTGACTAATAGACCAGGCTGGCCTTGAATTCATAAAGACTGGCCTGCCTCTGCCTTCCAAGTGCTGAGAGTTCCAGAGCTGCTGTCAGGATATGTCTGGAATAGCTTAACCTGCAGCCAGTCAGTGTACAAAATACAGCCAGCATGCCTTGAGTGCTTTGTCATGGAACACATTTGCTAACCCAAGAATAAGCAATGCATAGTGAACATCTCTTTTAAGTGTGCCTTGTTCCCACTCTGCACACTGGGGAAAAAACAAAAAACAAAAAAAACCCAATCCCTCCAAAACAAAACAAAACAAACAAGCAAACAAAAGCCCTCTGCTGTCAGTGAGAAGAAGGTGGCAGCTGATGGCCTAGGAATTTTGTATCTTAAGTGACGTTTCCCCTCGGACCTGGTTAGAATGCACAGAGCAGAGGGCCACTGTACGGCATCAGGCATGGTCCTCGGAGCAAGTGCTCCATGGCGTGCACTTGCAAGGCTCCCACACTTTGGAAGGGTGTGTGTCACAAAGCAGACTTAAGTCTCCAAAAGAAAATGACAGCTCTCTTGAATTACATTGGGAAAGAAACAAGTTTCCACATGTTTTATGAGATCAGGTGCTTAATACCATTTTATTCTTGCAGGTGTTTAACTATTGCCTTTAGACACAAGTCCTCAGAGAAAGAAGAGAAAAAGGAAAAGGCCAACATTTTCCCAGGCTGGCCTTGTTTCACTTTTAGTATTTGAAATGTCTTGTGAATGCTGTGAGGCGTGGCTTTGGCACAGCTGCCTTTGTTTTTTACTGACTTAGTCGTTCCATCTGCATAACATTGCATCCTGGCTGTTTGAAATCCCTGCTGAATTTGGAGGAATTATGTCTTGGCATCTGGCCCTACTTCCCTAGAACATGATGTGATGTTGTCAACAGGGGCCAGTCTTTTCCACTCGACAATATGTCTGTCTGTCTCATTCCCAGCACTTGGACTTTCAGTGGTTAGTGAGAAAGGAATGGAAAGCCGTGCTTGACATAGTTTGCTGAGTTTCCTGCCTGACTACATTACTTTTACAATGTCACTTGTGAATAACTTGATCAGATTAGGGCGAATCATGTGGTTGGCCAACAGCAACTGGAAGGATTCCCCAGCGTTACTGTATTGCACCATTAGGAAATGTATCCGGATAGACCTGCCCAGTGCTCACTGCCGCTGTTCCTCTCTGTGTGTTCCTGCTGTCCAGTTCATGAGATGAGATGAGTGCAGACTCCTCAAGCAACTCCACCTGCCCTGCCAATAGCATGGAAGGAGAGCTGCCAGGGGGAATGGAGGGCCGCGGGACCCTGAAGCTTGTTTTCACCGTGGTGTCAGCCCTGATGGTGGGTCTGGTCATGTTCTCTTTCGGATGTTCTGTGGAGATTCGGAAGCTGTGGTCACACCTCAGAAGACCCTGGGGCATTGCGGTTGGACTTCTCTGTCAGTTTGGGCTCATGCCTCTGACAGCCTATCTGCTAGCCATTGCCTTCTCTCTGAAACCCTTCCAAGCTGTTGCTGTCCTCATCATGGGGTGTTGCCCTGGGGGCACCATCTCTAATGTCCTCACCTTCTGGGTTGATGGAGATATGGATCTCAGGTAAGTCACAGTAGGGAAGCTCTACAGGGTTTCCTTGTCTGACTGGGAGTCAAGGACACTTTTGTGCAAAATCTTGCAATCTCTGGGTAGTTCTGAGTGGAAAGTACTACAAACATCAGTGAGACCTGGGCAGTCTTTCTCAGCTCCAAGCTCACTCTGCTGCAATCAACTTCTGCTTTCTTGGCAGCTTTTCCTACCCTGAGTCATGGATGGGATGCCGTTCATATGCAGAGATGACTTTTCTTAAGCTTGTACTCATTCTAAGCCTGTTGGCATCCCTGACTGTAATTTCCCAGGACAGCACCGATAATCCCATATAGCTAATGACAGTGATGGTAATGGTACCCAAGCGGCTCTTTCTTTTCATTTTGTCTCTTTCGCCCACATTGCTCTCAACAGTGTCTCCATGACGTCCTTCTTGAGAAGTAATGTTTTAAGAACCTGCATGAAGGACTCCAGGGCAGCTGAGAAATACGACGATAAACCTTTGTCTCCTTTAGGCTTACACCAGAGCTTATACTGATGGGGTAGATAAACAATCCAGGAAAAATTAAACCCCGTCATTTAAACCCATTTTAACTATGGTGAATGAATCCCACAGTTTTGGGGTCAGATGTTTTGATGAGAAGTAGAACAACATTTGAAGAATTGAGTCAGTATTGAGGGGGAGGGAGTTTGAAAAAAAAAAACAATGGTCTTTCTAGCTTATAAACACATTTACATCCTGCCTAGGGAAAATATTCCATATAAATGTAAATCTTTGCATGTGTATGCCATTTACTTGAGATTTACTATATAGGAATAAATGCGTCAGAACTGACGACTGAAGTGGGAGTTGACCACAGTGAGGCAGCTTCAGGGCTCTCTCTAGCTCTCTTGCGTGTACTGAATATTTAGTGTGTTGAACAGAATTCGCCTATACATTTTAATGGGTGCATACCACATAGACAAGTAATTGTATGGCAATGCCCATTGTTACCCACTTGAAAAAAAATCTTGACAGCTTTGTATCTCCACTCATACACCACTACTTGAAGTTCAGTGCTCTTGAGCTCTGTCTCTCTCTGTCTGTCTGTCTCTGTATGCATGTGAGAGTGTGTGTTTGTGTGTGTCTCTCTCTGTGTACTTTAGACCTCTTACTTAGCACAATCCACCAACTGACCTGTCATCTACGAGGCAGGCAACAGAGCACAGTGCCTGCTCAAGGAGCTGAGCCCCATGGAGCCATTGGTTACACTGCACCTCAGTTTCCACATTTGTTTTGATTTGTTGTGAGCCAGGATCTCACGTAGCCCAGGCTGACCTCATCCATAGCTAAAGATGTCTTTAAATTCCCACTCCTCCTTCCGCTTCCCAAGTGCTGGAATGACGGGCACAGGCCACCATGCTTGGCTCTCAGTCCCACATTGGGAAAGCACTCTCTGAGGTTACCTTTAGCTTTAAATCATTATAAAATACACACAATAAAATCTACCATTTGAGCAATATTAAATGGCATTAAGAACATTCACATTGTTACACATCCATTCTGCTTTACATCTCATGTTTGACTCCTCTGATGTCTCATATATGTGACTCACACGATATTTGTCTTTTGGGGTCTGTCTGCCTAACTGAGCCTAACACCCTTTGGGGTCCTCCTCTGTTAGACACACTGTGTGTGTCCTGCTTTGCCTGTTCATTCCTCGGTGGCTACTGAGTTGTTTCTACCTTTTGTTTCTTGTTTGTGACAAGGTCTCTTTATGTAGTCCTGGCTGGCCTAGAACTTAGTATGGCGATCAGACTGGCCTGGACCCTCCTGCCTGTGTGCTGCTGGGATTACAGCACATGCCACCCTTTGACTACTGCAGATAACGTGGCATGAAATGAGTTAGGTAGGTATTTGTGGCCCTGTCTTCAGCTTTCCAGCCTGCACATGTGCACTTGAGGAGTTCTGAGCAGTTGTTTTTATGAAACACAGGGAAGGGATGAGAAAGGAATGGTAAAACCCAAGTTCCTACTCCTTCCTTCCTTCCTTTTCTTTTTTGAGATGGTCTGAGTGTATAGCCTTGGCTTCCCTAAGCTCACTGGCCTTTAATTCATAAAGATCCTCTTGCCTGTGCCTCCTGAGTGCCCTACCCTAATTTTAATATTTCATCTGATGGAGCTGCCTGTCCTCTGTGCCCAGAATGTCAAATTTGTAACTTTTTGGTCACCTGTTGGAAGGTCTTGCAACTGTGCAACTTGCTAGCCTTACCTACCAGGTCTGTCTTACCTGAGGCTTTGTTCGTGTGTGCTCAGTGCCGGCCTGGTGGTGGCAAAGCCTGGATAAATGAGTGACGCAGTGACCGTGTCTTTTGCCTGTGTTACTGCAATAACCACCCTCCCTCCCCCTGAAAACTGTTTATTAAAGCAATCCAGGGCAGCTTGGACAACTTCTTGATATCTGTGGCAGATGTGTGTATGTATCCTTAACTACAAAAACAGATTCTGGACATTAGTGGTGGTGTCTGTGTAGCTTGGTGGCCAGCTTTGGCCAGTGAATTTCTCTTGAGCCTCCTTCCATTTTTAGATTTATTTTGAGACATGTCTCATGTAGCCCAGGCTGGCTTCAAACTTGAATCATAGCCAAGGATGACCTTGAACTTTTCTTTCTTTTCCCTTTCTTTGCCCTCTGAGTCCTGCAAATACAGGTGTGTATTTCTGTGCCCGGTTTTCCCTCTGAGCTGAAGGCCTTGGTCCTTGGCAGAGTAGTGAGTGATTCTTTGCATCTGACCTGGTCTACTAGGGACTGAAGGTCTTCAGCCTCTGGGTCTGACCTGGTCTGGCCTTTGGCACTTCAGATTTTTGGAGAGGGAACTGAGACTGAACTTGCATTAGTTACTTTTGAAACTATGACAAAATGCTCGGCAGAAGCAATTTAAGGGAGAAAAACTTTTATTTTTAGCTCATAGTGTCGGAGAAATTTTAGTCCGTCATTTCAGGGAAGGCTCAGCAGCAGGGACACGAGGCAGTGGCTGCTCATGTGGTACAGAGAACAAAGACAAGGGTGAAAACCAGAGTTGGGTAGCCGAGTTTCAAAAGGACTGCCCCTACTGACCCACCTCTGCCAGCCAGACCCTCTTTAAAGACAGAATGGTGCAACTTGCTATGTAGACAAAGATGACCTTGAACTTCTTATCTCCCCTTCTTGACGTCCCATGTGCTGGGATTACAGGCATGTAAAACATGCATGTGAAACCCTGCCTATTTTCCTGCAGGGCTGGGATTCAAACCCAAGGCTTCTTGCAAGCTAGGTGGACACCACACTGACTGCCACATCCACCTTCCGAAGGCTCCACAGCACTTAGTTTAGTGCCACAAACTGGGGACTGAGTCTTCAAAACATGAGCCTATCGGGAGACATTCCAGACTCAAGTAATACGTTATTTTATTTGATATCAAGATAGAAATGACATCTACACAGTTATCGTAACAGTGAGAAGCAAAACAAACAAACAAACAAACAAAAAATAAACAAAAAACAAAAACAAAAAAAAACATTTGAGGTACAAAATGTGGTTCACAGTACTCAACACTCGATAAACACTGGCTGTGAACTCTGTCCTACAATAGCTTATAAGGATGTAATCTTATGGGGCACTGGTGTCCATTGGCTAACCAGATTTCTACTTTTATGGAAACAGATATGTCTTTAGCTTGGAGAACTGGAGTTCTTGATTTTTTGGGTTTAAAATTAAAACAACATTTGAATAACTTAAGCCCCAATTGTAGAATGTTATTGACTACTTACTGCCTTTTAGTGGAACAAGCCATTTCCTTGCTGTAAGGGAGGTTCAGGATTTACCTGTTTGTCCAGTCTTGCAGAACCTGTCTCATTATTCTCTGCAATAGTTGGTGGTGCCATTCTTCCTAGTGCGAGTGGAATCTTGTTATGTTGAAGTCAGATAATGCCTGCGATTTTCCACCATGTGAACAGTGGAGGGACCTAGCTGGCCACATCCTGTGTTGATGTCACATTGGAGTTTCTTGGCAGGCACTGGAAGGCGTGGCTTCCCATTAAACATAATGCAGTTCAGTTTCTGTGCTTGGTTGGTTCCAGCTTGGTTGGTGTTCGCAGCAGATGGGTCTTCTCTTGTCCTTCTGCAGAACCATCAAATGTATCACAGGATTGAATGATTCTATAGAGGTTGGGGACAAGGTTTCAGTCTTGCTGATGTTTAACTTTTTTACAGTGAGGAATCTTACCCTTTTGCTGCTGGAGCCAAAACCATATGGGGGTGGTATGGAGCATTCCAGACTCCACAGTTCAAGATTAATGTGATGCAATGTAGAATTCCTTCCAGGACTTGGTAAGCAGAGAGCCAAGGCATACAGCACAGGTCAAGCATTTGGAAAACTTCCCTGGGTACTATCTCCATGGAAACAGGGTACCATCCCCATGGAAACAGGTTTAAGAACTGTGGCAAAATGATGGTCTTCCTCTAGCTTAGCTGAAGACATCTTTGTTTTGTTTTGAGTGTTGGGGATTGACCCCAGAGGCTACTCTGGACAGAATAAAATATTTTTAGATTTTATATGGACAGAAAGATATGCAAAAACTTTTTTTAGAAGAAAAAGTTTAAAAAGAAAAATTTATGTGGAAATATTGACCCTATATTATTTCTTTTTTTGAGACAGAGTTTCTCTGTGCAGCCCTGGCTATCCTAGAACTCACTGCATACACCAGGTTGGCTTCAAACTCACAGAGATCCACCTGCCTCTCCCTCCCAAGTCATGTGCCAGAACTGCCTGGCAACCCTATATTTCATGGAGACAATTTAGTTAAGAAAGTCTGGTATTTCTTTAGGAAAAAAAATTACTTACCAGTGGGCTAAATTAGAGTTTTCCAAAAATGTTTGAAAAACTTGGGCATTTATTTAGTACATGATAAAGGAAGTACTTCAGCTTATTTGAGCAAAATGTACCCACACATTTGCCTCATGTCTTAGTTCATAAAATAAAAACTTCAAATGAGTTACAAATATAAACATAGCCTATCAAGCCATAAAGAAGTAAAATGTAGATGATGTCTGAATGCCCCCAGGAATGGAGGACATCTTTACAAGGATGAGGAACTTAGAGGCCTTCTGTTGTTCCATTTGTTTGTTTTTTGAGACAGGGTCTCCCTATGTGGCACTGACTGGTCTGGAACTCACAATGTAGACCAGGCGGGCCTCGAACTCACAGAGACCCACCTGCCTCTGCCTCCTGAAAGCTGGGATGAAAGGGGGGGTGCACTATCACACCTGGCAAAATACCCAACAGCTTTAACTACATAAATTTTAATTATGACAAATATCATGAACAAAGTCAACAATAAACAGTAAATTTATCCAAAAAGTTTGAATCATGAAAAATGCTATATACTCCGATTTTCAAAGAGCTCCCCTAGATAAGAAGAGGAGGTCAGATAAGGCAGACTATTCATGGAGGAGGCAAGAAGAACTTGGAAGCATGAAATAGGGTGGGCTTTGGAGAAATAAGTATGTAATAAGGTTATGATGAGATCTGCCTCTCAACACTCTCGAGAGACGTCAAAGGGCTTAACCATGTTTATAGTGGTCTACACTGCAAACACAAGCTTTGGGCAAGTATCTATCCGACAGAAAATTCTAGACTTTTGGTGCTGGGGTTTCACTTTGGAGGAGTCCTGCTGCAGAAGTGAGAGTCATTTCAAGTCAATGTTTGTTCCTAGCCAGAAGGTTTGGAGGAATATTTTTAATTCAGTCCACCATCTCTCATGGAGTCTCTCTCTGGGATTCCGTAACTTGGTTCATGCTTTCCAATGTTCCCCATGAGGAGTCAGTAACTACAGGCTCTTCTGTACCCAGCCAGAATCTTACACAAGTGTTCTGATGGCTTCCTAATATTTAATACTTTGTACCAGACAGGTGTTTAGTCAGCTTTTTGGTATTTTAACTTGTCTTATCCAAGCCCCAAAGGGGTTTAAGAAATTCTGGGATGCTTTCTTTAGAGCTGAGAGCAGTGAACTCTCTAATCGTTCATCCCCTGTAATCTCTGAGAAAGTGGAGTTGCTTTGAAAAAGTGGGTTCTAGGGGTTGCTTTTGGCAAAGACTACAGTCTTAACTCTTTTGAGATGGGGTTCTCACTATGTAGACCTGCCTGACCTTGAACTCACAGAGATCCACCTGTCTCTTTCTATCCAGTGAGCCACCACATCTGGCCCAAGACTAAGTACTAAAGTAGTAAGGGACAGGTCCTTGGTTTCTGGTTCTCCCTCCTAAGAGTCTCACTTTCCTTTCAGCGTCAGTATGACCACCTGTTCCACAGTGGCTGCCCTGGGGATGATGCCTCTCTGCCTCTACCTCTACACCCGGTCCTGGAACCTTACGCAGAGTCTCACCATTCCATATCAGAGCATAGGTTTGTATGGGGCTTATGTAATGAGTAGGAAGAGCAATAACAATGGTACAGATGACAGATAATTACAAATCTCTTCATGTAGTGTTTAGCATCATCTAAATCAATCCTCCTAGTTTCTAGTTCTGCTTCTTATACTTTCAGGGTTAGCAAGGTTAGGTGACTTGATGGAGATCATGCAGTGTAGACCTGAGGACTCTGACCTTAACACCCAGACTCTTAGCCCCTATGTGCTGGTTTTGGTTGGTGTAGTGAAATGCCCGAGGCAGTGTATTTATGAAGAAGAGAGACTTGTTGAGCTCACAGTGTGTCTCATACTGACTAGGTGTCCACAAACCATGGTTCATATTCTTATGAGCCCTGCCCCCTGGCTGGGAAGGTCATAGACTGAGAGGGACTGTTCTCATTTTCACCAGTGTATTTCTGTTGTCCCTATGGCTGATTGTTGGAGGATTCTGAGAGAAACAGTGGCCCAGGTATGATGGAATTTATTAGTAGCACATACCCTTCAAAAATTGTCTTGCCAGGAGGTGGTGGTGCACACCTTTAATCCCAGCACAGGGGAGGCAGAGGCAGGTGGATCTCTAAGTTCAAGGTCAGCCTGGGCTACAAAGTTGAGTTCCAGGACAGCCAGGACTACACAGAGAAACTGTATCTCAAACTGTCCCCCCCCCAAATTATTTCAAAGCTGTTAACTAATTGAAATAGAAGTTCCTGGGAAAGTATGGGGCCCTTGGGGAGGGGACACTGTCTGATGGATTTTCTTTCTTTTTAGGAATTACCCTTGGGTCCCTGGTTGTTCCTGTGGCCTTCGGTGTCTATGTGAATTATAGGTGGCCAAAGCAAGCGAAAGTCATTCTTAAGGTCAGCACCCCAGCCTACACACAGAACATCACCAGAGACGAAAAGGCTGAACCAATGAGCTGTCCCAGTACAGCCTGTGTCCTGCCCTTTGTCTGGGAGCCTTGCTCTGTCACTCCTAGTGGCCCATACGTGTTTGTGACATCTTGGAAAACATGATGCTCTTAGTGGACAGAAACACTCAGGCCTGACATGGCCTGGGATGTCCAGGACCTGTCCCTCCCTGGGCTTCCCACAAGTACCTGCAAGGTGAAGCTCCTCCCTGCAGTATGGTATGCACGATGGAACCTCAGTGTGTGGGAACATGGTGACTTCTCAGGAGAGGGCTGAAGAGCTGTCTTGCCAAAGCATTCCCAGGCACACACACACCACTGGAGTTGTAATTGGTATACACAAGCAAGGGCTCCTGACCTCATCAGTGACACGGTGTGGGAGAAATCATCCCGAAAGCGCTGAGGGCTGGCCATGGAATGGTGGGAACCTAGTCACCTTCCCTTCCCTTGCTTGGCAGTGCTGTCTTTTATCTATATGAGAAATAAGTGTTCCTGCTAAAATGACTTTAACATCACATCAGAAGGCAGAGGTTTGTGTTTCTTCAAAGCTGAAAAAGAGTCTTAGCTGTATTTTACATTTAGGAAGAAATGAGTGTTTGGGGGTCAATTGGAGTTTATTTCAGCTTGGAGTTTATGGTTTGGTCCAGCCTGAGCTCACCGTGCCTCTGTGGGCGTTGTCCCAGTTGAACAATGCCCATTGTTGCTCCAAAGAAAGCAAGAGAGGCCAGGTGAGGGAGGCCCTTCCCTTCCCATACTTGGCCCTTTCACTTTAAAAGAACATTCCGGGGGAGGGGGGATGTTTACAGAACAGGGCAGTGTGACTATGGGAACTTTCTTTTCAAGCACTTTGTCATTAATTATTTTTCTTTAATTGACAACATTTTAAAAATCCCATTTTAGCCTTTCTGTGTACTTGTGGTTTTTTTGTACCATTGCATAATGGTACTGTTCCCAATCAGAGACACCCCATCTGTTATTTAGTTGTAAATCTACTTCATCATAGTTATGCCTGTGAAGAAAGGCCTTCACTTTATCTGGTTTCATGCACCCAGTAAATGCCAAAGTTTAAACCTTTATGCCTGTGCCGAGCTTGGCTTCACCGGGGAAGAACCTCACCTGTGGCTCCCAAACGCTGACCTTTTTGCTTTGCTATAGGTCGGGGCCATCGTTGGTGGCATCCTCCTTCTGGTGGTGGCAGTCACTGGTGTGGTTCTGGCACAGGGATGGAACACAGATGTCACTCTTCTGATCATCAGCTTCATTTTCCCTCTGATTGGCCACGCTGCTGGCTTCCTGCTGGCACTCCTCGCCCACCAATCGTGGCAAAGGTATAGTTATCTATAAGGTGTGCTCGTGTGAGTGCACTTGTGCATGCGTGCACATGCCGAGACTCGGGTTTTCAGACCTGTGTGTGCTAGACACAAGCTCTACCTCTGATTCTTGCCAGGCTCTGTAAGCTTTTCCAAGGCAGGTATGTTGAGCACATACCATGGTAGGCTTTACTGGCTCTGCTAGGAAACAGGAAGGGTTTCACTTTGCTTGTGGTCAGAAAGCTTATGGTGATTCTGTACATAGACAAAAGCTACATGAATGGGGTTAATATAGTCGGGGTTACTATTTCAGCAATGAAACAGCTTGACCAAAAACAAACTGAGCTTACACTTCCACATTGCAGGCAATCACTGAAGGAAGTCAGGGCAGGAACCTGGAGGCAGGAGCTGGTGCAGAGGCCATGGAGGAGTGCTGCAAGGGCTTCCCATGGCTTATTCAGCCTGCTTTCTCATAGAACCCAGGACCACCGGCCTCCCCATCAATCACCAATTAAGAAATGTCCCACAGCTAGATCTTACGGATACATTTTCTTGATTGGGGTTCCCTTCCTTCAGACAGCTCTAGCTTGTGCCAAGTTGACATAAACGTCAGCATCCGTTGTAGCTTATGAATGTAGAGTTATGGCTTTAGTATGGCTTGCTGGTCTCTGACCAGTTCAAGTCCAGCTAGGACTACATAAAAAGACCCTGTCTCAACTACGAACCTGAGAAGGGTGGTGTGTGAAGGCCATGGGTCAATATCAGGGGTGAACTTGTTCTGCTCAATGTAGAGATCATAGTAGGGCATGGGTAAATTTTAAGAAATTAAATCCTTGTTCAGTGTGCCAGATTTTTAAAGAATTACTTGTTAAGAATGACATAGGAATTTGTCTTAAATATTGCCATTTGGACTGGGTTATACATTTATAAATATCGTGAAATCTTAAAAATGATAATCTCCATGTTGGCACACATGTCATGACATGAATGCAATGGAATAATAACGAGGGGGAATAGTGGCAGGCACCAGCATTAACTTTCTGAAATGCAACTTAGTGTTGTATAAGCAGCCTCGTGTGTAATTAGGACTAGTAACTCAGCACGTTTACTTTGCTTGAGAACAGGGTCTTGCTATGCAGACCTGGTTGACCTTCAACTCTGGGTTCTCATGTCTCAGCCTCTTGAGTGACAGGATTAAAGGTGTCTTCACCTTTAATCTATTCTAGTGCTAGCACGATCAGATACACACACGAATACTGATGAATAAGATGCTAATCACAGTGCCTTCTAATAAGGTAAAAAGGGAAACAATTTAAATATCTAACAATAGGGTCATGTATGCATGTGATAGGTCCGATGCAACAATCCCAATGTTGGATGATGATCCAGAGCTAAACTTTAGTTTAAAATTGTTGATTTCTAACTTTGTAGGGGAAAAAAAGGCAAAAAATAACATGGAAAAATACTGGAAGAAATGGCAATTTAGAGCAGGGAAGTCAAGGGTGATTTCAGTTCTTTTGCAACTCGTGGGAGTATTTTCTGTTTTTCAGTAAGTAGGTTTATTTTTAAATGGGGATGATTACAGGAAAGTGTCTGGACTCGAAAGGCTGGGTGGGGAAGGCTTGGGTTTCTCTTTCGCTGCTGCTGGCTTCTACTCCCTGCTCTCTTCTACCCAGGAACACCACTGAGCATTGCGCAAGCACCGGGTGAGGCCCCGCCTCATCCAACCCTGCTTTCTTCTTGTTGCAACCTGACAGCAGGGAGCTGTGATTATCCCACCCACCGATGAGCAAGCCCTTCAGAGAAGATTAGGAATGTAACCAAGTTCCTATAGCTAGAAAGTAGAGTTTGGATTTGAACCTAGGTTTGCTTCCAAGGTCAATAGTAAGTAATAGAGATTGACAGCTGGATCTGGAGAAAAATTAAGAGTTCTCATGCCAAGGTGTTGTCAGCTATCTACTCTCTCTTGCATCCCCTAGCCTGACAGAGATGAGGCCAGAGATGACTGCATTTGCTTTGCGAATGGTCTGAATGGTCCAGGTGAGTTGCAGCTCTGCAGTGTTGGCACATCAAGCTAGGAAGTTTGAGGGAAGTGTACCCTGCAGGAAGGTAGGAGGAATACAGTGTGTAACAGAACTTGTCCCATTTCACACCTTGTTGCGTCTATGTGGAATCCTGGCTCCAACAAAGCACCTTTAACCTTTCATTTCATATATGAAGGCTGCAAGTGCCTTATAAACTGGAGACAAATGGAATTGCTCGATCCACCCTCCAAGCTTGCTTTCTGCCATTGATTCCTTTTCCTATCATTTTTCATTTTCAAGTAAGATTTATTCCATTTTCTGTGGCCAGAAAACCAACAAAGAGAAATTTATTATTGAATTATTATTATTATTATAAAATTTATTATTTATCATAGCAATCTTTCTGACATTTGTTTTTCATTTAGAGTTTTGGCATGCTTTTTATTTTGTTCAGTTGCACACCTCTGACTCAATTTCCCATTTTGGTCTCCTCCATTCCTCCTCTGCATGCAGACTGGCTTTTAGTACAAGAAACCCCTCCTGAAGAAGCCACGTTCACACTCGTGCCTGCTCACACGTCACACGTTCTTTGCTGTCACTCCCCTGGTATTGGTGACCTCTTCAAGTTCTGTAGTTTCACTACTCTGCAAAGCTTTCTGGAACCTCTGCTGCCACTTTGCTGAGTGTCCATGGCATCTCCTGGCCCTGATCATTGTTCAACTTGTTCGTGAATCTTTCCGGGTGTGCCTCTTGTCCTTCTACTCCGATTCCTGGGCCAGGGTTCTTGAGGCCCTATTCCATGGGGCATCTTTGTCATGTACAGAAGAGGATCCCAGTAGTAATTGTCAATGAACATACCCTTTTGTTAGTTCTCATCTCTTCAATCTGTTCACTGACAGGTGCAGGACGATTTCCATAGAGACAGGAGCTCAGAACATCCAGCTGTGTGTCGCTATGTTGCAGCTGTCCTTCACTGCCGAGTACCTGGTCCAGCTGTTTAATTTTGCCTTGGCCTACGGACTCTTCCAAGTGCTGCATGGGCTCCTCATTGTCGCAGGTGAGTGAATTTCCTCTGCATGTCCTGCCCTTGTGATGTAACTTTAGCCTCACACTTTTGGGGATCACGGAGTATAAAGCCAGGATACTCTGATGCAGTGGGTGTTTCATAGAAAATATTTTAAAAGCCATTTGAGTGAGATCTTGAAACCACAGATAACTGAACTTTTATGTCCTGTCTTACTCAGAGCTGTGAGCTTCCTCAAATACTCAGCTACTTCTGGGCCCCAGAGATGGAAAATTCAGGCTCAGCTGGTGTGGAGGATTTTTCAAATACAAACCTAACATGTATATACAAGTGTAGACACAGTGCAATCTTATGCACACATGTGCTATTCTCCTACCTGCTCAGTCAAATATGAGTTACTTTGGGGGGAGGTAAATTGTAAGAAGGTATGAATACACATATGTACATGTACATCAATTTGTTTTGGTCTTGGTCCCTGGAATAGGCTCTAGTAAAGTTAGTGATTACTGATGGAATATTGATTGTACATGATATTCCTTTCTGTTGCTGTGGTAAAATGCAGTACCCCAAAGTAACTTATAGATTGTAAGACCCTCAGAATGAGGAGTCTTCCAGGTTCGGTCGATACCCCAAGAACTCAATGTCCAGTCCAGTTGCTGCAAAACGCAAGAGGCTCTAATGAACAGGAAACGTTTGCTCAAATGGCTTCTCCAGCACGCAGGCTAGGGAGAAGCCCCCTCCCCCGGGCACAGGTGTTTTTAAAGGCAACCCCACAAGCTTAGGGAGGGAATGGGAACCTCTGTCCATTGAGTATGTGACCCTTGGAGGCCGGATGGTCTACTATTAGGGTCAGCAGACCTTAGGGCTTCAGGTGTGCTAATTAATCTTGTCTGGGCAAACCAGAGTTACAGCTATCTCTTGACCCTATTTACCACCTGTTGACTCACAGGAAAGGAGGGGCAGTGTGAATTCTTCTTATCTCAGGGCCTTGTGTGAGGAAGCTAGCAAATTCCAAGGAACAGATATTGGTTTTTAGGTTAGTCCATCATTAACATTACTTTTTAGGTCTTTCAAGATGAGAGACCTCACGTTGGCTTACAGTTATAGAGGGTGGGGTGTGTGTACATAATGGCAGGAGGCAGGGTAGCAGGAGGCTAGCTGGTCATATTTCATCTGCACACAGGAAGCAGAGAGAGTTCAGCAAGCAAAGTCAAGCTATAAAGGCCCTCAAATTGTGACCCTGGTGAAGCACTTCCTTTGGCTAGGCTCTGTCTCCTGAGGTTTTGCAGTACCCAATGTTGAAATACTACCCAGCACACATACTGATTATCACATGCTATTGGTATGATAATAATGATGTATGGAACACTTGGGATTGGGACTTTCCCGTGGGATATGGAGATACTATTAGAAGAACAAACTGCCAGTTCTGAAACCCAAAGTTTTCAAGAAACATCGTGGTGAGCTTCTTTGCAGCTGTATCCCAGCACTTGGGCAAGTGCCTGATGCAGTTAAGCGCCCCACAAGTGTTTGTTGCCTGAGTGAGTGAATAAGCTCAGAAATGTGATGGGTGCATCCCGATTCTACATAGAAAGAGCCATTCTGATACCCAGCACTCTTCCATTCCACAGCTTTCTCTTCTCACTTCTTTCCCCCGTGTTTCCACACACCTTTCATGCGAATTGAGCAACTCTCCTGCAGTACAGATGAGTATGCACTGTCCCCGATTGTACTCTGCTAAAGTGATTTTTATGCTACTTGTTTTTTTTTTTTTTTTTTTTTTTTTTTCTACTTAGCATATCAGGCATACAAGAGGTGGCAGAAGAGTGAACGCAGGAGGCAGCACCCAGATTGCCCGGAGGCAGGCTATGAGAACAAGCCCAGAGAGACCAGTGCTTTCTTGGAGGAAGATGACGGAGCTGCTGTAACTCTCAGGCCATCAGGGCCAGAGCAGCAGCACAGGGTTGCTGAGTAATCAGTCACATTCCTTCATGTGAACAGTGGGAGACACAGGCCAGCTTGGCCCTCCATCGTCCTTCATGGCCAGTAAAGACCATGCTCTGATGAGCAAACATCATTGGCAGGTCTGTGTGAATATGCAACATTTTTTCATCCAGTCTCCTGTGGGACAGCGAGTGGTGGCTGGCAGTGAGCAGTAGGTATCTCCCTTGGAAGCTGAGAGACAACACCGTGTAGTGACATCACTCACACCACAGGATGGAGCAGGTCTAGATCCATGTGGCTCCTTGGCTTTGACCAGGGGCCCTGGAGATCTTAGAGAAGATACGCTAAGAGAAAATGAGTTTCAGCGATGGAATTATTTTTTTAATTAAAAAAATGTAATTTATCTTACATACCAACCTCAGTTTCCCCTCCCTCTTCTTCTCCCGTTCCCTCCCCTCCCTTTTTCACCCCCCCATCCACTCTTCCTCTGTCTCCATTCAGAAAGGGTAGGGGCAGGCCCCCCCCCCATGGGAGTCAACAAAGCGTGGCATATCAAGTTGAGGCAGGACCAAGCTCCTCCCCCTTGCATCAAGGCTGGACAAGATGTCCCACCATAGGGAATAGGTTCCAAAAAGCCAGCTCATGTGCCAGGGACAGGTCCTGGTCCCACTCCCAGGGGCCCCACAAACAGATCACACTGTTACCCACATGCAGAGGGCCTAGGTTGGTCCCATGCAGGCTCCCCAGTTGCAATTGCTAAGGGAGCAAGCATTTGTAATTTTGGGTATGTGTGTAACGTAATGCAAGCTGAGAGAGAATGGAATAAAAACGTGAGAAGAATCTAAAAAGTGAACATCAGGGATAGTTCTTTCTCCAGAGAGGAACCAACAAGTGCCCAGCACCTCCAAAGCAGACACAGCACTTGCAGAGAAACGCCAAAACAGCAGAGAACTCATGAGTTGAGTCTCCCTGTGTACCAAGTCATCTAAAAAGCCTGGAGCTTGTTTCCTGTGTGTTCTGACAGTGGACTGATGATGATCTCAGAGCACCTTCATACATCTGTGTTACCTACCTCATTCTTCAGAACAGTGTCTACGTCTGAGTGTTGTGTTATATATATATTTATATATAACACAATTTATATATAAATTGTGTAATTTATTTAATTCCTCTTTATTACTGGGTATTTAGATACCTCACAGTGGAGCACTGCTATGAACCCTGGCCCTCATGCTCAAGTCTTTGTAAGCTCCTTCCTGCAGCTCTAGTGGGCAGGTCCACTGCTCCTCAAAATCTTGGGCCGATTGCTCTGCCTCGGAAGGGTTCTGTTGTTCAGTCTCACTAGTTTAAGAATTAACTTTTTCATTGCTTTGATTTGTGGAAACAAGTCATTAAAATTATATAGAAATCATGAACTAGAACTTTTTTTTATGTTCGTTTTCTCCTTCATGTGTTTGACCTGCCTTTTTTTCCATGATATTTTTCTTTTGCCTTTTTTGAAGGCGGGATGTCTAAGGTAGTTGTAAGCTTTCAAAAATCCTCCTGCTTCAGCCTCTTCAGTGTTCAAAACTGCCGTGGTTGGCTACTTGATTCGTACTTTGTTACAGGCGGCTGCACCTTTGTCCTGTATGTTGTCAAAGATCTCCTAGCTTGTTTCCTTATTAGGTCTCTTGCTGTAGAGACTTACATTTTTCACACATTTTAGCTTTATCAGTCTTTTAGAAAATGCTGTAAAGGCCAGGGGTTGGAATGCTAGTTTTCTCTGAAGGTTATGAGTTGTGGAGAATGCGTGTGGCCTTTTCAGTTGTTTGCTCTCTGTAGTGGGTATTTGCCCACATGGTGCCTGACAATGAGTAAAATCCATACCTACCTACCCTGACATTATTAGAAACATTTCCCATATGCTTTCCTGTTACCTCATGAGTGTAATACTTGCCTATCCCTCATTCTTGGTGCAATGTATTAAAATCCTGTTTTAAAAATTTGTCCTTACTTACTTTTGTGTATGTGTGTAAAAGGAGTTCTTAATTGGTCTAGATAACAAAAGGCCAGGGTCAGATATAGAGGAAGATGCTGAGAGATCAGAAGGAGCAAGCCACAGCACACCTTACCTCCTTAGCATCTCAGCAGACAAGAGTGAGTTCCTGTTTCTCCCTGCTTATACCCTGTCTCTGCCCAGCTATGTCACTTTCCGTGGCAAGCTCCATTCTCTGACCTCCAGACTTTATTTGTGCAAGAAAGATATCACCACATATGTGATGGAGTCTCCTGTTAGTCACTATGCTGGGCTAGCTGCGCAGTGCTTCTGGGGACTCTCCTGTCTCTGCCTTTCATCTTGCCACAGGAGCCCTGAGATTATAGATGCACTCACTCCTGTATCTAGTTGTAGGTGGGTTCTGGGCATGCAGACTCAGTCCTGTCATCTCATGAGGAAAATGTTCTACCCACTGAGCCATCTGCCCAGGCCAAGGATTTCATTTAAATATTTGTTTTTATATTTATTTTTACATGTGTAAGTGTTTTGCAGGTCAGAAGAGGGAGGTGAATCCCCTGGAACCAAACCCTGGTCTCTTGCAAGAGCAACAAATCAAATGTTCTTAAACACTGGGCCATCTCTGATTTTATTTATATATATGTATGTATACATATATATAAGTAAATACATAAATTTTTGGGTCCTCTGGAAGAGAAACAAATATTCCTCACCACTGAGTCATGTGTGTGTGTGTTAATTAACCTAAGTTCCTGTTGCTTTGCTGCTTGGGGGTTCCTACTTCTCCACTTCATAAATGTTCAAAGGGAGGCTAGTCTGTGCCACACTTGGCCCCACAGGACAAGCAAATCTAAGCAGAAAGGGTTCTTTCCCTTGGGAGTTCATAGTCTAGGGGAAGTCCACAGAGTACCGAGAGGACCATGGACAGAAGTGCTGTGGGTTAAGATCCAAAAGGAACATCACCGATAGGTTTAGAAGATTCATGAGGAAGAAGTTTCTGGATGTTTGTCTACATGGGCACCTTCAGAAAATGTAGAATCCAACACTCTGCTGAGTCAGCAATATGGTCAGATTTCACCACTTAGGGAGTCTCCAGGAGGGGGACAGGTATGTGAAGGCCTGTTTTGTTAGACAGAAACACCAGTCCACAAATGGTAATCTGAAGACTGCCGCTGGTTCTGTCTAACACCAGGCTGCTTGCAGGGACGTCTGTTTCCTAGAACAGAGGGTAAAGCCTGGTGGGTGGCTTACTTTTGTTTTGTTTTTTGACTTGAAACAAGCTGGAATCATCTGGGAAGAGGGAAGATCAACTGGGTAATCCTAGGCTTGGTGCTGGGATTGCAGATGTGAGCCACCATGCCTGGTTCTAAATTGAAATTTTCCATTCTGTGGCGCTCATGACTATATACTGTGCCATTATGTCATATGAACATATGAACTGTACATGTCATGTCCCCAATGGTGTTTCCATACATGTGTGCAGCAAGCATTGGCCATATCCAGGCATTCCTCTCCCAACCTTACCTGGCCCCCCAAACTCCTCCCTATTCCCTAATAATGACCAGTCTTCAGGTTTTTCCTTATATTTCCACATATAAAAGAGAACTTATTTTTTGTTTGTTTTGCTTGACATGGTGTTTCCCAGTTACACCCATCTTCCGGATGGTGGTAGATTTCAGTCCTCTTGATAGCTAGAGGATAATTCATTGTGTATCCAGATGGGCACTTGGGCTGGTCCTGTAGTACAGCTATTATGAATATCAAGAACTCTAGAAAACGCTAACATACAGCCATTTCTTTCAGTTATATAGACTGGAAGAGCCTGGACCACAAGGTATTCTTGAGTGTTTGAGGAAGTGCCCAACTACTTCCATTCTACCAACAGAGCACATGCCTTCCGTTTTCTCCACAAGTCCCATCCTCTCTAGACTTCACCTTTGAACAAAATCTAATTCCATTTAGTAACAACTTCAATCACCACAGGTCTCCCCTTCCAAGCCAGAGTTGTCTCAGGGGGCAGGCTGCCCTGCGTGTCAGCTGTTCTCTGTGCTGAGTGGCCCAGGCCTGCCTGGGTGCTTTCATCCACCCACAGAGCAGCCATCACCCCGGATTCTTAGAACAGGCGGGAATACAGAGAGACACTGCTGGGCTGTCGGCTTCCCAGGACTATAATGTAAACTAGAATCAGTCATTGCCTGAAGCACCATATGCTTTGCAAATGTTCCCAGCACACAGCAAACACGGATTAGACATGAGTTCTCCAATGTGTCCCCTGGCACCCTGGCCCTTCTTACCTGGCCCTTTCATCATAGTGGCCCTGCCATTCCATGGGGTAGAGCTGAGCCCAGACCAGGGCAGAGACACAGTTATAAAAAGCCTTCCCCTCAGATGCCAGGGACCTCAACTTGATCTTCTTCCAATTTCCATTTCTCAGCTACATTCTTTCCAGAAATTCTCCTCCAGTGCTGGCTTCAGATGGCAGCCGGCGACTCCCAGCCGTGCTGGCCCCTGGCTCTCTGTGGCCTGGCACCCTCTGATAACAACAGACCCCCTTTTCCTCTTTCCTCCCCCAACCCCAATGATAGTTACAATTTAACGTATGGACATGCTTCTAGAACATGCTCTTAGGTAAAATCAGAAACGGCTCAGAAGTGGGGCAGGCTTGGAGGAGGAATGCTGGAGACCTGGGTGCTAGAAAGTGGATGGTGGAGAGGTAGGGAGTAGGGTGACAGAGCCAGGACTTGGTGGAGTAAGCGAGCATGGTGCTCGGAGAATCACCGGGCACCCTCTTGGAGCATGAGCTGTCCTTCCTGCTAGGAAAATTCAAACAACACCCAGGGAGGTGATCATCATCTCTCACTAAGCCTTGGCCAGCTGTATTTTCTGAACGTTACCATGGTGGGGGCTTCACAGCACTCAGTGAGGGACACAAGCTGGCAGTGTGGTGCCATTCAAAGTCAGGGAAAAGCAAGCCAAATAATGACCCTCATGCCAGGGGGCTGGTATGGCTGGACCAAATGGGAAATGGCCAAGTTGGGGTGCAGCTGTCCCGGCTCCCAGAGGCCTGGATACTGTTAAGTAGAAAACTGAAGACTCCTGAATTGGCTGTCCAAGTTCAAGGTGTGGTTTTATTTACAAAGTGAGATGACACATTAAAAACAGATGACACAGGTACAAGCGGTTTAACTCCATTTTCATGAAAAGTATATAAATATATTACAGGAAATTGTATATAGTAAACATTAGAAACCGATACAGTAAACATTGCTAGTTTCTTTTCTATGC